GTTTGGTGTTTTTTGGTGGTTCCCCCCCCCCCCAATTTTCTTTTCTCTCAGTGTAATCAAGCAGCTGGTTTAGGAGTAAAGTGAAATGAATATCAGATCGATATATGTATTTGTTGTTGACAAAAGAGCTGGAAACCATGCCGTTTTCAGTGACAGTAACAATCATTTCTTGGGATCTGTGCCAAGCCTTCACATATATTATTCCATGTTCTCACAGCTGCCCTAAGAAGTTATGATGTTGGGTACACATAGTATAGGTCTCATGGCGGCAGGTAGGGTGGCCGAACTGGGATTATCTGTGCTCTATACCGCCGTGACACTGGACTGCATTCCAGAGATCATGGTGATTGGGATCCAGGAGGATGAGGTAGCAAGCAGCCCTGCTTTCCAGGATGAGGATGGAGCCTGTACAGACCAAAGGTGGAAAGACAGTGAGATCCTGCTACCAGGAGAGTGAGTTTCTGTTGAGAAAATTCAGAAACAAAGATGATGATTTCTGATGCTCTGTCCTCTCAGGGGAGCCCAGAAATCAGTTTCGAGGGAGCCCTGAGTAGGTCTGATTTCAGAAGGCAATGCCTGGCAGGCAGATCTATTGGTGAAACACAGAATAGAGTGTCAGTTTAAATGGGTGCAGGCTTTTCTGAGCCTTTGTTCTGGTTAGATGAGGATAAAGAACTTACTTTTCCTTTCTCTCTCTGTTGGTGTTTTTTTTTTGTTTGTTTGTTTTTTTAAAAACAAACCCTTATTCCTTGTTGGTAGACTTTGTTCACGTCACTGTAGTCACAGTGAGAGAAAGCTGAAGGCAGACCATAGACCACTGGTGTGCCACTGAAGAGTGTAAAGTGAAGGAGTATCATTGTCTTTGGACGGGGAGGTGACGTCTCTTACTCTTGACTAGTGAATCTGGGTAGTTGAGGGAGAAACCCTAGCCTGACATTATACCAATGACTTTCCACTATTATTTTGGGCAGATTACCATCAGATTACACTTGCAGATTATTTTTTTTTTCCTGTCCCTTCACCCCCTCTGGTGGCCAATATTTCTCTCCTAATGTAACATTCTGTTCCTTTGTTGCCCACAGAGAGCTGTCAACTCAGTGCTGCTTTTTCTTCTCTTGTTGGGTGTCTTTGGGTTAGTTCTGATTCATAGCAATCCCTTGCACAACACAATGAAACCCTGCCCAGCCCTGTGCCATCCTCACATTCATTCCTGTGTTTGAGCCATTATTGCAGCCAAAGTGTCAGTTCATCTCATTGAGAGTCTTCCCTCTTTTTCACAGATCCTCTACTTTACCAAGCATGGTGCCCTTTTATCCCCCCATGGTGCTTTTTTTGAATGGACTGGTCACTTTGGATAACATGTCCAAAGTATGTGAAAAGAGGGCACATCACCTTTACTTCTAAAGAACATTTTGGTTGTATGTCTTCTGAGAGAGATGTGTTCATTCTTTTGACAGTCCATGTTCTAGTCACTAGATGTCATCAGTTCTTTTTTCGGTGGTCTTTAGTCGTCGTCCAGCTTTTGTGTGCATATAGGATGGTTGCCAATGCCAAGTTCGGGTGCACTTCTTTCAGGAGGTCTTTTGCAGCAGGTTTGCCCAGTGTAATATGTGATTTTTCTTTCTTTTTTAAAATTTTAAATTGATTTTAATGAAAATTTACAGAGACTTTGGATTTCCATTCATTCATTGTTGCACTTTTCTCCCTGCCCACCCCTCCCCCTTGTGATTTTCTTTCTTAACTGCTTCTTCTGTGGGCATTGATCATGGGTGAATCCTTGGCCATTTTCATCTTTTTATCATGATGTTGCTTATTGATCCATTTGTGAGAACTACTGTTTTCCTTGTGTTGATGTGTAATCCATAGTGAAGGCTATAGTCTTTGATCTTTATAAAGAAATGTTCAAGTCCTGTTTGCTTTCAACAAGTAAGGTGTTACTTGCTTAACTCAGGGTGTTGATGAATTTTCCTCCAATCTGGTTACTACAGCTTTCACATAGTCTAACTTTTTTGGGGTACATGATCAGCACATAGACTGAATAAGTATGTAAAAAGATACCATACCTTACCTGATTTTAAATCATGCCATGTTTTCTTGTTCTGTCCAAACCACTGCTTTCTGGTGTATGTATAAGGTTCCACATATGTCCTGGAATTGCCATTCTTCGCATTATCATCTAGAATTTATTATTGTTCACATACTCCAGCACCTTTGCATACCCAGTAAAACACAGATAAACATTATTCTAGTATTCTCCGTTTTCAACTAAAATCTGACAAGAGTATAATTGATAGTCCTTCTTCTGTATCTTCTGAATCCGACTTTCTTGTAGTTCCTTGTTGATGTTCTGCTATAGCTTTTAAAATTATCTTCAAGATTTTACTTGTGTGTGATAATAATGATACTGTTTGATAATTTCTGCATTCTGTTGCATCACCTTTCTTTATATGGGTCTCTTCCAGTTGATTGACTAGACAAGGTCTTCAAGTTCCTTGGCAGAGATAAATGGATGCTTTTGGGGTTACATCCATTTGTTGAACCATCTTGACTGCTGATCCTTTGTTCTCTGGAGCCTTGTTTTCACCACCATTCGTTCGTCATTTTGTTGTGCTCTGGTGACTCGAGTGTTGCCATGATGCCGGCAGTTGTGCCACCAGTCTTTCAAATGCAGGACAGTCTGCTTTGGTGGACGGGTTTCATCGGAGTTTCCTTGCTAACACTGGCTAGGAAGGAAGACCTGGTGCTCTGCTTTTAAAATATTGACCAATGAAAACCTTGCAAATAGCAGGAGAACTTTGCCTGAGATGGTGCTGAAAGGTAAACCTCTCTTATTGGAAGGTATGTAGAATACAGTTTACCCCCTACAGATCCTTGGTGACCCTGATACTTAGCCTTGCAAATGTTTTTGCAATCACTTGCCACAAAGCTCAGATTCTTAGCCTTGAGACTCCTATATAGACAGAAATGTGATTTAAGAAAGCTCTTTAACTCTGATTTTTGGTAGCATCTTAATCAGTCCTCTCCGTCCCTTAAAAAATGCTGAGGTGATTTTCTGCTTTGAGAATTCAGCCTTGCAGAGCATTAAGATGGGTTGCATTTTAAGAGGGGAATTAACAGTTTGCCCGCTATCAGTAAGTTACGGATGTCAGCCGAAGCTGATTAAAAATGAAGTTTATGAAACAAATTCTGCTGGGACAATGCCTTTGAGCTGTGGTGCTGGAGAAGAGTGTTGAATACATACCATGGATTACAAGGAGAACAAACAAGTTTGTCCTGGAGAGGGTTAAACCAGGCTGCTCCTTGGAGTCAAGTATTCTGAAGCTGTGTCTGGCATACTTTGGACATATTTCAAGGAGGGACCAGTCCTTGGAGAGGGACATCATGTTTGGGAGAGTGGAGGGACAGCACAGGAGAGAACGACCCTCAATGAGATGGATCGATTCAGTAATTGGGGTAGTGGGAGTAGGTGTGCCAGAAATGGTGAGGTTCACACACAGGATAGAGCAGAGTTTAGGGCTCTTGTAAATAGGGTCTCTCTGAGTCGCAAGCGTCTTGAAGTCAAATAACAACAAACAACAACAACTGGGACAAGGCACTCGACTTTCCTGAGCTTTGGCAGGTGGCATTGGGAACAGGCAGAGGGACACATCGACACACTTGGCTTTTCTCTGTTTCACAACTCATATTTCTTTGTGTTACCAGGATCGTCATGACAGCCTTATCTCTCAAATAAAGCCTCTTACCTCATCTCTAATTGCTTATCCAAAGACGGGCGAGCTCTAATTTCTCTGCATTAATAAATGACACCGAAGAAGAAAAGCTTTGTTTGCACTGGCTCGCTCAGGTTAACCAGCGTAACCCCCTGAGTGCATTAGGAAACCTTGCGGGTCTCAGCGGCCGGGGAGAGATGGCGTGCACCTCAATCACGAGCCGCCTTTCGTTTATTTACTTTTTACTCATGTTCACGGCCCTGCTCTCCTCTCCCCAATGAAAACACGTCAGTGACCGGGGTCAGTGTTTCTCCATCTGTGGGTCCTTGCTCTCCTTTAAGTTAGGGATGCAGCAGTTTTCCTGGGAGGAAGGCTGGCTTCCATGATTTTTTCCTCCTCTTTTTCTTAAAAAAAAAACTTTATTTGAGCAAAAGTTTACAGAGCAAACTGACTTCCCATTCAGTAGTTAAGTACTTGGTTATTAACTGAAAGGTCAGAGGTTCGGACCCCCCAGGTCATCCGAGGGAGAAAGATGTGTCAATGTGCTTCCATTAAGGTTACAGCGTGCTGGGAGCAAAGTGGGCAGTTCTCCTCTATCCTAGAGAGTCACTGACTTGGAATCAACTCAGTGGCAGTAGGTCACCCGGATTGCAATACACCTGTTATTGTTGGGTACCATAAAGTCAGAACTGACCATCCAGATGGTTTCCAGAGGCACTTAATTGCATGGGGGAAGATTGCTTGTCTTTCTCCCACAGAGCAGCTGATGGCCTTTGGGATTGCAGCATAGCTTCTTACCACTAGGCCACCAAAGGTCTTTTCAATACACCTAGTTTTCTTTTTTAAAAGCAGATCTAGTGGGATACTGTGTAACATGTTAGGCTGCTAACTGAAGGTTGGTGGTTAGAATCTACCAGCTGCTCCTTGGGAGAAAGATGGGATGTCTCTTCTCGTGAAGAGAAACCCAGTGGCAGGTTGTGAGGAATTGAAGTTGCTAGGATGACCGTGGGTTTCATTTCCGAAGCTTTGCTGGGAATGACCTGGATTTCCTACATTTCCTATTCATGAGGAGAGCAGGTCTGTGAGGGTTGGAGAACCTTTTGGTTCTGAATTAGTTCTCTCACTGTACTCTGTGAAACGGAGAGAACACTTTGCTTTTCCTGGGTAAAGATGTGATCAGCCTTGCCCCCATGACTGACTACCCGTGACTACCTCTGTAAAGGGGCCTCTAAATAGGAGCTATTTTCATACACCAGGAAACTTAATTTCCTTTCTCTTTTTTTCCCTCAGAATGAAATGGATGATGTACCCTTCTTTGATGTCCAGCTGCCTTATGAATTGGCAATTAATATATTTCAGTACCTGGACAGGAAGGATCTTGGAAGGTGTGCACAGGTAAGTTCTTGTTAACCTCTTTTTCAGACGTGCCTATAATGTGTGCCTAAGTATATGAATCAAAACAAGGCCCCAGGAATTGGTGTATTTCAACAAACAGTGCTGCCCTAGATGTGCTCACCAAGGTGTGCCAAGAAATTGGGAACACAACCACCTGGCCAACTGACTGGAAGAGATGTGTGTTTGTTCCCATTCCAAAGAAGGGTGATCTGACAGTGTGGAAATTATTGAACAGTATCATTAATATCACATGCAAGCAAGATCCTGATAAAGATTATCCAAAAACAACTTGAACAGCACATCAACAGAGAACTGCCAGAAGTGCAGGCTGGGTTTAGAAGAGGTTGTGGTACTAAGGATATTGTAGGTAATGTTAGATGGATCTTCGCTGAAAGCCGGGAATACCAAAGGAATGTCTGTGTGTGTTTCATTGACTATGCAAAGGCGTTTGACTGTGTGGACCACAACAAACTCTGGTTAACTCTGAGAAGAATGGGAATCCCAGAACACTTGATTGTGCTTATGTGAAACCTATACTTGGACCAGGATGCAGTCATCAGAACAGAGCATGAAAACTCTACATGGTTCAAAATTGGGAAGGGTGTACACCAGAGATGTGTATTATCTCCATACCTTTTCAATCTTTATGCAGAACAGATTATCTGGGAGGCTGGCTCTGTAAAGAGAAATGTGGCATCAGGATTGGAGGAAACTCAACAACAATCTGTGTTATGCAGATGACACAACCCTGCTTGCTGAAACTGAGGAGGATCTGAAGTGCTTGCTGCAGAAGGTCAAGGATTGCAGCCTATAATATGGATTGAAGCTCAACATCAAGAAAACAAAGATTCTCACCACTGGGCCAATTGACAGCATTGTAATGAATGGTAAAGAGATTGAGATTATAAACAGCTTTAGTTTGCTTGGCTTTACAATCAACACTTTACAAAAGCAACCAGGAAATTAAAAGATGTATTGCACTGGGAAAATCTACTGTTAGAGATCTTTCCAAAGTACTGAAGAGCAGTGATGTCAGTCTGGAGACTAAGGTGTGCCTGATACAGGCCATGGTCTTTGCAGTCACTTGTTATGTATCAGAGAGCTGGACAGTGAGTAGGGATGATAGAAGGATGCCTTTGAGCTGTGGTGCTGGAGAAGAATATTGAATATACCATGACTGCTAAGAGAATGAACAGGTTCGTTCTGGAGAGGGTTAAATTAGGCTGCTCCTTGGAAACAAGGATTCTAGAGCTTTGTCTTACATACTCTGGACATGTTACCAGGAGGGGCCAGTCCTTGGAGAGGGATGTCATACTTGGGAGGGTGGAGGGACAGCACAGGAGAGGAAGACCTTTGATGAGATGCATTGACTCAGTGACTGGGGTAAAGGGGGTAGATATATCAGAGACAATAAGATTGGCACAGGATAGAGTAGGGTTTAGGGCTGTTGTACATAGGGTTGCTATAAGTTGCAGATGAATTGATGACACATTACAACAACAACAAGTGTAAGAATCGCCCCGTGAACAGAGATTTCCTTAACAGGAAAACTTGACTTTAAAGCATTAATGAATTTGCTTAACAGCTGCACTTGAAGGAATGAACGCAGCCTTAAACTGAAGGGATGGTGTCCTGCAACACCACTTGGTATTCATCTCCTTGTCACCGACTCTACCTTCTGAGTCCCAGCTGACCTTGGCAGGGTGCCCAAGTCTGACAGCTGTGTTTGGCCTTCATGGAGCCAGCCTGTGCTGCTCATGCAGAGATGTGAGCCAGGAGTTCAGTCGCAGTTGTTGCTGATCAGTAAATGGGGGGTCCACACAGAGCTAGCACAGTGCAGTCATGTATCAGAGAGGTACCCTGTAACCACCAGATTCCTGCTCATTAAGGTATGAGGCGTGTGAGAACCGAGATGTGAGAACTGAGGGAACTTCTGATATGTGTTACTGACTCCTGCCTGCTTGCTCTGGTCATGGGCCTGTGAAGGAGTCCACTGGGAGTTTTTATCCAGAGCACTTGAATGTGTGCACAAATAATGGTGAGTGAAAAAAAATGCAAATACAGATTCAGGTAGGGCCAAAGAGCTCTGTGGTACAGGGGCTAAAGTGCTGTGTTGCCAGCAGGAAAGTCATTGGTTTGAATCTCCAGTTGCTCTACAGCAGACAAATATGGCAGTCTACTTCTATGACAGTCCCAGCCTTGAAAACCCAGTGGAACAGCTTAACTCTGTCCTGTAGGAGGAATCAACCCAATAGCAGGGAGTTGGGAGTTTTGGTTTTGAGGCGGTTGTTGTGTATTATGGAGCTGGAACTGACCCATAGCTGACCCTCAGCAGATTTTCAGAGGTAGTAAATAGCACAGGAAGAGATTGCCCATCTTTCTTGCTGGTGGATTTGATCTGTGTACCTTTGGGATTACAGCACTGCCCCTTACCGCTAGGCTACCAGAGCTCCCTGATATTGGTGGTGTTAGGTGCTGACTTGGAATTGCTCAAGTATGACTTATAAAGACCCTATAAACAGCTGACCTGAATCCTGCCCTGCCCTATACCATCCGCACCAGTCACTGGTATAGGTTCTGGTGATTCCAGATTTGTCACCTGCTCTTGGGTGATACTGATGTGGCCATGGCTGCACGTCAGAGACAAGGGGTTTGGCGAACAGAATTGTCTTTTTGTTTTAGGTGAAGAGTTTAGAATTGATTTCTCCCAAGTGTTGTAATTTGCTTAACATTTGGCTTTTAATGAACAAATGTGTTCCCCAGAAGATACGGAAGTATCCAGTTGTTAACTCCTCAAGAATTCAGTTGTCTAGTTGTTCACAAATCTATCCATGGAGTCTGTGATGATTTCACACTTCAGGAGAAAGAGCTCAGTAAAACTAGGTTGGTTGGTAGGAGAGCTTCACAGTAAAGCTATCACTACAGATGTGAAGTTAATATATGAAGGTGGTGAAAACTGAGGCCAATGTTAGAGGTTTGAGCTTGCTACTTGTGGCAGTTAGTGATGCAGGGCAGTTGAATGTCTCGGGTAGCATTATTTCTTCCTGAAGGATTTTTCTTCTTGAATATGAATTTGAAAATATTTTTTTGTGTGTTCTTGATTGCCATAATGTTACTTAAGCAGGGCTGTTGGCCAGTATTTTCCTAGCAGAGTACATTTTTCGGAAAAATGATGGAAATGATTTAAATGGTAAGTCACTAAATAAAAATTTGCTTAAGTGTACACCTTACTCTGGGCCTATCGATTGCGTCAAGTCAGAGGACCTAATTGTCTTTCTCTTTCCCCTTGGAAATTTGATTTGTTATACTCTAACTTTACATGTTGGCCACGCTCCCAAGAGTTGAAAACAAGAGTGTAGCTAAATGAGTCCAGCTCCTGGATTTCAGCCTGATGCTGTGAGATGAAGTCTTGGAACAGTCTAATAGCTAGCTGCCTTACACAAAGTCAGCATTAGGCGATAAAAATCTTCATTCTTACTAGGGAGCTGCTGTTTAAGGACTCATTTCTTTTAACATTGCTTTTTGCTCTCTTGTTTTGTAGAGGGCCATGTGGCTTTCACATCTGCTGCTGGTTTTCTCATCCAAAGAGTTTATCAGTCAAAGATAGGATCGAGTGGGAGAAGAGATCCCCTCTTGGTACAATGGGGCTGCATTTCAGGGTAGATTGGTTATGCTGTCGAGATTATTCTGCAGGTGTGAACAGTTTAATTTGCAGCACAGTAGTCCAATTGTCCACCAGAATCCTTCTCTCTTTGGCCAGTTGGATTTGTTGTTGAGCCTGGTTTTCAGTGCACATGGATAAGAATGGAAAGTTTCTTAAAGGAACCCTCTCATGATGGACTGTGCCTGGGGTGGGGTTGGGGCTGCTTGTGACACCCGACAATTCTCGGTGCTTTCCCACTAAGAGAACAGTGGATGGCTGGTGGTTTGTAGAATTGGCTTTGATTGTGTGAATACTAAAACACAAACTACAGAGTAATAAAAATAAGTAGCATTTTTATTTGTTGCTTGTGGTGCTTTTATTTTTAAAAGAGGGAAGCAGCCCTTCTGCTGAATGGAGTGCCCTGCTGCTTTATGGTTTTATTTTAGAGGTCTCATTCTCGCTTCCCCCACTAAACCTCTCCCCATACTCCTCTCTCACTCTCTCTCCCCTCACTCTTTAATCTCGGTGCCTTGGGATTTTAGAGAAATTGGACCAGTTATGTGGATTTGGCACCATGGACTATATATGCGCCCTTGGAGAAAACCTGTTTGCTAAGATCTTTATGCCAAGTTAGTAACTGACTAAACAGTAAGGAACCCTGGTTGGGGGGGGGGCGCTTTTGAAATTTAATGATGCCACAAATTATGTTGGAGAGCTGATTTTGCTTAGACTTTGTCACCTTTCCACGTCCCTTCTGTGTCTTTGTGCTTTCAGAGCTGAAGTCCCCCCACGTTGGTTTGCCCTTTTTTGTGAATGTCTGATGCTGACTGCTCTGGGTCCTTGTTATCAGTAGCTGTCCCTATAGAGATTAAGTATCTCCCAGAGAGGCTTTCATGCTGCAGCGTCTCTAAAACACTGAGTTTTAGTAAGACAAGTTAGGAGTTAGACAGTTCATTGAACTTCTTTATCATTTCACTACTTAAAATTTCACATTCGTCTTTTTGTGCATGTGTGTGTGCCCACAGGACTCCTGGCACTTCACTGGGTAATATTTTTAAAATTGCTAACAATTACAAAATCACAAGTGGTTTGTTTTTATGAGAAAAAGAAGTCTGCTGTTATATTCCAGCATGATTGATTCTGAGGAGTGATGACTTTTAGGCATTTATCAGCGTTTATTTTTTAGCATGTGCTCTGCTGAAGCTTTTTTTTTTTTTAAGAAAAAAACCCTTTTTATGTTGAAATAACTAAATTTATAGGAAGTTGTAAAAAAATAGTACAGAGAGGCCTGGCGTCGTCTTCACCTTGCTTTAGCATACATAACTATATTTCATGCAGAATCACAAGCAAGAAATGG